GATTGATTGATTGATTGATTGATTGATTGATTGATTGATTGATTGATGAAAATGTTGTGATCAGAAGCTTGCAGGAATCTGTATTTCCTTAGGAGGAATGGTTCAGCATTTGCTAACTCAGTATTCATGACAACTTCACAGAATGTAACTACTGTGAATAATGAGAATTTACTGTATCCCTAAATACTAACAATTAGCAGATGGAAAATCCTGTTACAGATATAATAAATAAATGGACTCTTAGTCTGTCATGCAAACATTTTGGAACAAGGTTTCAAAGAAATCTTGCCTTAATGAACTCACGAATAAATGAGGGCTGGATGATTGCTATCTCAGTTTTCAAGATTCTGTACTCTAACCTGTAATTCTTGGCATTAAGATCTGTTAAAGTAAGTCTGTGTAAATCTTGTTTCCTTGATTATGCTCCATAGTTAAAGGGTTTAACAGTGCCAGAGTTTTGATTTGCAAAAGAATGTTTAAAGGAAAACGTATGGAAGGTGGTTGAACTGAGACCAGTCTTCAGTGTGTCAAATAATACTTGATACTAGTGGAACATGTGTTTTCAACCAGGTTGTAAGGATAAATGTAGGGATTGCATAGAATCAGTAGAATCATTACATGTCTGGAGTTTAGTATATTGTACAAGGTTTTCTAATTGGTCCTGAGTGGTAAATTGTATAATGGAATGTCTCTGTATTTGCAGTATTTGATACTCCCGTGAAAAAGCTTTTACAGAGCTGCTTTTTCAGATTATGTCTGAAAAACTATGTTCACTTATAATTAATGTTTTAATCCTATATTGCTTTGTAATGTATCAGAATAGCAACAAATAGTTCAAATTTTAAGAATTTTATTCTCAGGAAAATGTCATAACACAAACTTCTTTAACAATGAAGCAATTATAAGGGGAATGCATAAATCAGATGAGTAGGATAAAAAAAATTATTGCAAGTCATAAATGCATTACATTGTTATTTTTACTAATGGAATGTGATAGAACTGGATTACCTCATATTTATAAACAATTAGTGAACAAAAAGGGAGAACTTATTCCTTAGATATTGGTAAAACATCTACTGAGCTGCTATTATTAAAGCAGAAGTACAAATCTTGGCAAGTAAACTAAAGAAAGATAAAGGAAAAAGATTAATATTTGCCACTAAGACTTAATATTAGTAAAGAATTTATCAGTGTTTTCAAATCATTATATAGATGGGCAAATCCAATACTTGCCAAAAGTAATATTTAAGTAGGCTAAATTTTCCAGAATTATCCCCAGAAGATATTCAGTACATAGACACTCCTTTCTCAAATTTACAGATTATAGAGTTTTATTTATTTTAACTATTAAGAACAGTAAATCTTCAGGACTAGATAAACTGACAAGAGGGCCTCACAAAGATTTTAAAGATGATTTTATAGCTGAATTTTCATTACTTTCTAATATATTAGGTCCCCCCCCCCCATTTCCTGGAAAGATTTCAAGAAAATTTTAATTCTTATGGCGAGCAAGAACCCACAAGACCTAACTTCTTATAGATTTATTTGACTTCTTAAGTAGATATAAATTATATATAAACTAACTTGAATTGTAAATAAGGTGACTGATTTAGATCAATCTGGTTTTATTGCAAAAAGAAATATATTTATTCCTATTAGGAGAGTACAGGTAGTCCTTGGCTTATGTCCATTCATTCAGTGACCATTCAAAGTTATGGTGGCAGTGAAAAAATGGATAAACAACTGGTCCTCAAAGTTCTGGCCATTGCATTGCCCCCATGGTCATGTGATCACGATCCTGGCACTCGTTGCAGGGAGATGCAGTCATGTGATTGCCATTTGTGACCTTCCCTGCTGGCTCCCAACAAGCAAAGTCAATGGAGAAGCTGGCAGAGAAGGTTACAAGTTGCTCCGGTAGTCACTCCTCCTTTTTCTCTTGCCTGCGGCAACCTCCACCCACCTGCAGCCTCCATCAGCCCTCCCAGGCCTTTCCCAGGCCTCCCATGACTTGTATGCGGCCTGCCCCGGGCCTCCCAGGCCCACCCCCGCAGCACCCCGTGCTCCTTACCTGGGACTCCCACCTCTTCCTGCTGAATGACCTGCACGTTTTACAGTTACAGTGATAACCAGTACTGCCTGGAATTGCTGCCAGTACGTGACATCGTACTTTACGACTGCATCGTTTAGGGATGGCAATCCTGGTTCCAATTGCTGTCATAACCCAAGGACTATCTGTACTAAATATTATACAGTTTTGCAAGGCTAGCATGATTCCTCTAGCTTCCTCTAGCAATATATTCAATGTATTCATTGAATATATTATATAGCAATATATTATATATATATAACAATATATAATATATAGCAATATATTCATTGCATATATTTAAGACATTTGACACTTTAGAGGAGATCTTTCTAAAACTAGTATTAACAATATTTAATATGGCTGGTCAGATCTACTTCTATTATCTATACTTCCACTACAACACAGATAAGGCTCAACAATTATGATTCGGATCCCATTGTAATTTTGAGAGTCACCAAGCTTTAGTAATTGCATTGTATCCCAGTAATCAAATTAAGGAGTTAAATTTGGGGATAATTCATACCTACTAAGCTTATTTGCAGACAATATGGTATTTACATAGTCAAACCCTAGTTTTGCAGCTAAAACTATTAAGTAGGACCTTGAAGGATTTCCAGAGGTATCAAGCCTATCAATGAATTTTCAAAAATCACATTTGATGTTTTTCCATATTGGCCCTGCAACTCAGAGAGAGATTATCTAATGTTCTAAGAATTCCAGTTGCATACAAATTCTTGAAATACCTAGTGATGGACATTACCAGAAATCTGTCTATCTCTATAACAATTTTATCCCAGTTTGGAAAAAAAAATAAGATGAAAAGCTGGACTAAAAGACATCTGACTGTTTTAGGCTGAATAATGGCTATTAAAATGAAGTTCCTTTCAAAATGTATTATCTTTATTCCAATCTTTTTTATTGGAAATTCCAAGTAGAATATTAATGATATGACAGAAGATTGAAAGCTTTTGCTTCAATTCTAAAAGCTAAAAAGTCAATAGGAAGATTTTATATCAGCTATTGACATAGAGAGGTGGGGGAGGGGTCCCAAATTTTTAAAATCATTATCAAGCAGCACAGTTAGGTAATTTGATTCAATTTATATTAGAAGATCTGACTAAGCAGTAGATTTATATAGAGAGAATATCAGAACCGGATAATTTTTTTTAGTAATACTGTACTGTATACTCTTTTCAGTCTAAGAGTTTTTCAAAGGTAACCAAAATTAATAATGTTTTTATCAAGACAATGTTTCCCTCTAGTACCTTTAATTAGCTTTTTTGGGATAGATTAACACACTTAAAATATTGAGGAATTAATAATGTCCATAGGATAAATTACTTTTATAGTAATACTGGGCTATGTAATAAGGATGAGACTGAACAATGTGCGGAGTGCCAGCTGCTCTGGTTCTTCTGGCATCAGCTAAACTTTGAATTGGATAAAGAGGAAGTCAGAAACTGTTAACCCGCTCCTATACTATCTTTGAGAATTTAATATTAAATTATTTGGAGCAATCAAAAGGAATAATGTCAAGGATTGTATTGCAAATACAATTATACAAAATACAAAAAATTAAAAAAAAATTAAAT